GATACGGTTTTGTCTAAATGACATCAAAATATGTCAGTGTAAAATTTTGTCGCATTGTTGTCTTGCATTAACGTCAATTTTAAATCATTATGGTGGGCTGTTTTGACATCATTTTGATATGAAATTACATTACATAACAAAATTTTGGCACTGACTTCACTTGATGTCATTTTGACAAAACAGAGTTATCCAGGATCAATGCCCTCACTACTACCACCTCTACTGGTTTTTGTGGAAAACTAATATGCCAGCTGGAATAAATGTAACATAATTTGCATTTCTGTCATCCCAAGTTATATGTTTCCCACAACCTTGGTTTAGGCATTTAGGCAACGCCGACCTGAGGACCTACCCGACAACTTTCTAGTCGCCCAGTTGTTAGAGAACGAGGACGCACCACCCTGCAAGAAGCTCAAGACCAAGGACCTAGAGTTGGAGCAGCTTCAGCGGGGCGCGGAGGCGGGGCGGAAGATGGTGAACATGCTGCACCTGGTGGTTCCTCAGGCGGTCGAGTCTCTCAACAGCCAGCTGGAGTCGTCGGTCGCCCAGCTTGGCCAAGTGGAGGAGTCCCTGGAGAGGCGTATGCAGCGGGAGGCGGCCGGCGATGTGGGCACCACGTCGGACGCCGTGGAGGAGCCGCTGCAGCTAGCGCGGCAGCTGGAGGCCAGCCACCGCCTGCTCACCTCCACCAAGTGCACCGTCGCTGCCGAAGAGGAGGCTGGCTCTGCCTGGACGGCCTCTGTGCAGCGCGGTGGGTGCGGCGACATCTTGCGCTTGATGCTGCAGCTGCGGGCGGACGGCCAGCTGAGAAAGGTGGGTCTCCAAGCAGGTGAACAGTGCTCATGTTAGTGTTTACGAGGTGCTCAGCTCATCCACTGTCTTTCTCTCCAGGTTGACGACGCCATCGCCGTTCCTGACGGCCCTGCTGCGCCTTACGTGGGGCCGCCTCTCATCTATACTCTTAAGATAACTGACAAACACATCGACAATTGTCGTCTAAAAGTGGCTGACATTCTTCGGGACGTCCTGCATCGATGGGCCATTCCTCGCAGGCTGAAGAACTTACACGGCGGTGGCTCTGAGGACCTGCTGCAGGTCTTGGGGCCACACCTCGAGGAGCTGGAGTTCCCGTACAATTGGGAGGCTCAGCCCAGCGTCATGGAGGAAGTGGAAAAGATGTCGGGACTCAAAAGACTAGATGTTAGATGCGCTAAGACTGTTAACCAGCCGGACCTACCGTTGCTGTTGGAAGAGCTCACTGTGTATCAAATGACTGTGAATCAGCTGCGCTGTGTAGAACGCATGCCCAGGCTGCGCAGCTTGTGTGTGTTTAATTACCATGGTCCAAATCTGACTTTTCCTCCCTCGCAGCATGGCAGGCTGCTTTGGCTTCAGGTGGCCATTAATGCTAAGCACAAGCCCACCATGCTCTCTCTGATTCGCGCTCATGCCTCATCTCTGCGGGAACTACGTGTATGCTGTACCTTCTCTCCCGATAGCCGCCAGTACTTCTACTTCCCCGACCTGGCCCAGGAGCTGGCGGATTGCGGCCTTCGCGCCTTGCAGCGGGTCGTCCTTGTACGTCCAGAGAAACATATTTGCACAGATCGGTCTGCTGGCTGCGTGTTGCAGCGAAGAAATATCCGAAGCGTATTCCCATCGTCTGTCGACGTTGTTTGCAAATCGTGTCACTCACAGGAATTCTAGTTGAATTATTTGCCGCAATATGTTTTTCCACGCGATATGTAGCGATATGCCATCCTTGCTCGGAACTAAACCTTTACGCGTTCAAAACCCCAGCTACAAGGAAGTTTTAAACCTGTGAA